CTCGTCGTCGTCGTCGTCCTCCTCCTCCTCTTCTTCTTCTCTTCTCTCTCTCCCCCTGCTGTCCCTGTCTGCCCCCCCCTCCATCTAACAACTGTCACTATGTCAATGCCCCCCTCTTTGCCCCAGTTATCTCCTAGATGGGGGAGAAAAGTGCTTACATTTTTTATGGTTTATTTTTGTTTGTTTTTATAGTCATTTCAAAAACAAATTAACTTAATTTCAAACAAGCTGTCTCTGTCTTTAATCGAGACCAGCATCAGAGCGGAACTTCCCGAGTGCCATCTTGCTCCTACAGCCCCGGTTACTCGCAACGATAAATTGTACCAAAACTGGACGATCTGTCTATCATGAGACAAATAGTGTCATCTTGCTCCTACAACCCTGGTTACTCGCAACGATAAATTGTACCAAAAACTGGACGATCTGTCTATCATGAGACAAATAGTCAGGTGTAATCCACCGAATTGTGCAAAGTTTGGACGATTGGACGATTAATCGGAGGGAGACTCGGTTAAAAATCAAGGGCTGCTTGAGAGATTGTCCCGATATCCTTTAGTTTTAGTCAGAGTTTTCAGGCTCTCAAGCAACACAATGTCAAATAAGAGCCGAAGATTAGAGGTGTTGCAAGAGAGTAACAAACCCAAACAAGAAGGAGGGGAGATCAGGATAATAGATGTTTGATAAGAAAGAAGGAGCAAACCACACTAGAGCACCCGCCAACCGCCTGCATCATGCAAGATTCGCATTCGATCATGATTGTTCCGTCGTCTGTTCTTCGACACTTGCAGTGGGTGTTAACTTCGAACTAATTGTGAACTGTGAGTTTGATAGTTGGCACTGTGTCCCTCTCGTGAGCTCTTCGGTTCCATATTAATAAAATATTAATGTTAATTTTAATCTAAATATTTTTACACTTTTGAAAATCTATTTGAACGTTCTTTGATGTGAGTATAAGAATAGAGATGGAAGTTAATAAAAAAAATAATACAAAATTGTTTAAAAATATAAAATATTGACACGCAATCTTAAGATTGCCGTGCAATTATACGATCGTTGAAACGCGCAGCGCAATCTACGCGCCGGTCGGTAAATAGTGCGGAACAAAAATAGGTATTTATAATTATGTCCTTTTACTTATTCAATTTGTTTGCCATTGTAACCCACCCCATGACCACCAATACAATGTAATGTGGTGTTGTTATTATTTTATAACGCCACCAACCAGACCATGGAGACTATAATAAGCAAGCTGGCTCACCGTAGACCTATTTTACTGCTCAACTTCTAAACTTCTTTTTCAAATTCATTATGGGGGCTCTCGTGGCCTAGAGGTTAAGGTGTTGGCCTCTCATTCAAAAGGTCCCGGGTTCGAATCCGGGTAGCGACCGAAACATTTTCTTCTCTAAAATTGTCTCCTTTCACCTTCTTTCCTGCTCTCTAGCGATGTTCTGTTGTCTGCTTTCATTTCCACTTTCTGCCCCCACCCCCTCACCTCCTTT